ACCAAGACTGGCTAAGTCTCGTCTTGTTCTTGCATTTGGGCAACACTAGTAATCATCGTATCTTACAGTGCAACGTTGCGAATGTTTTCGTATTTTGTTTGAATAAAATTTCTAACTATGATCCATATTCTAGTAATTACATCAAGTTCCTTTTTAAAATAATTGTAAATGGTGAAAAAAATACCTAAGCATAAAAAATGCCAGTCTGTATTTCCTGAAGGGTGCAATAATCTGGGTGTCTTCAAGGCCCGAGTGAATAGGTTGCTTATGGGACGACGTGCTCCATCGTAGACCGCATCATCGCTTACCACGAGGCGAGATAGTGGTCAAACGTCGTCCCATCAAATATATAAAAAATTGGAGTGAAAGATTTAGCGGTATTTAAACAAAATAATGTTGTCAATTGACAGTACATTGCGATCGTTGCAAATTGTATCGAAACTTGTTAGGCTTTAAGCTGATTTTGACATTATCCATTGTAATGTGGTACCTATATCTGATTCTTTGATAAAATATATTGTTTAATACATCATTCTATCAAGTTTTATATAACAATCGCAGCCCTCTTTACATCAGACAGTCATCGACCCCAGACTTGGACATGCAAAGATAAGCATGAAGTCTTTATTCAGCTGTCGATTATCAAATTGATCCCCTAAGGCTAACGCACTATCAAATCTCTATTACGAAACAACGAAAGTGAACTCTATTGTTCTTGACACAATGGATTAAATCCAATGACATGTGTTTATTAAAGAAGGTAGCCTGTCTTAGATTAATTGTCTTAGTCGAAAGTTTGATTTGATTGGATTGTCTATTGTTTTTTTTTGTTAGTGAATGCGTTATGTAATTTTGATTATTATTTTGGTTTTTGTATTGCTTTAGTCCTGGTTTTGATTACGTTGTAAAAGATAAAGGCATGTTCAGTACAATCTGTCTTAAAAGTTTCACTGACTGCAAAATCTTCTCAGTACTTTTGAGTTAAAAGGATAGATTTTACTTTTATTTCTGATAATAATATCTTAATTTGTTTCAAGTTGGCACAATTAGAGCCCGTTTCCACTAACTTCGCCTAAATTTTAAGAAATCCCTAAGAAACATAGATTTTTTTTTTTTTAACAAAGCCCCACATTAGGATTTTTTCCTGTGTCGTGGGTGCGTTTACAAACATACAAATTCACATACACATGACACCCAGACCTTCTCCTGGCCAGGTGAGGCGAGAGGGTGTCAAACTCTTATTAAACACTAGAGTACCTAATTACGTAATTTTGAACCTTAAAAACTTTGATATTAAAGCAGATTTTCAAAGGTTATTATTATGATAGCAATGATGTCATCCGATATCTAAATGACTATTTATAACACATGCATGCTATAAAAATAAATAATATGTAAATTATGTCTTAATAAAAATGCAACAAGAATAGTTTCTTTCACGATTTTATTTTAATAATATTTTAGTATTATTATGTCGATACTCAGACTAGAAGTCTAGACGAAACTGCAGGTTTATTTTTATTTATAATAAAGTTTGTGTCTATATAAATGCATAATACTGTAAGATCAGATTTCTGTTTTCTTTACATTCAATATTCTTGAATCTGATTATGATAAGATCGCCCTACATCTGTCTTTTGGTTTGTTTATCTTGTCTTATTGACGATAAACTGATAGAAAGTTCTATTTTCTAAACTAATGACTTGATGTATGTAGGTGGTGCATTAGAGTTATTGCTGACGGTGTCAGACTGCAGTCCAGTTTTCTATTAGACATTTATTTAACATTTCGGAAACCAAGAGCTAGAGCTATAATACAATTTGATTAAAAAATAATAAGTGTCACACAACAAAGAACCAATTACTGGTTTTCACGACTAGCTACAGAGAATAACATGGTGTAGTAATGTTAAAATAATACTGCTTTAGTATATAATGCCATTGGAAAAGCGTACCTATGTCCAGCAGTTAATAAAAACGGGCCTATAATCGCGGCTTACTTGGATCCTGTTGCCTGACTTCTTTATTGAATTATAACTAGCTTAAATCATTTTACGCTATCTCTATCGTAAGCATATCAGAACCTAACGGGTAACCGGGACTCCGGCTCGACGTGCAGGAGAAGGAACGGGTTGGTTTTTAGTCAGTAAGAGTCTGACACTCCCTCCCGCCTCACCCAGGCGGGAGCAGTCATTCGATGATTTTCCCCCCTTAAAAAAAAGCGTATCGAATCTCAATAAGAATAATTTAATAGAACAATAGTATTAACCGTAGTATTAGTAACCCTATGGTTAGCTTATAATTCTTTAACATTTTAAGAAATGTAACTACAGCTGATCTGCACTTAAATTCCCGAGCAAACCGTTTCAAGTAATTAACCTACTTAATCAAAAGGCAAGTATTGTAAAATCCAATGAATGAAAACCAGCATAAGCAGTAGCCACCTGAAGTTTATACCTAATAACTGTTTACGATTCACTAAACCCACATTTCAATCTAACATCCGCACTTCAATTTCCACGTTTATATCGATCATAAATCGATCTACGCTTGATCGATTGCCTTTCTTCTAGGAAGTCCGGCACCAGCTGATACGATTCGATTCGATCTGATTCGATTCTCGATATATGATCGCGATTCGTTAGCGGAGACCATACTTGTGCGTATGCCACCGTGTCAATTATGGTATCGATATAAGATTTCTTGGATTGTAGAAAAGAGGATGGGGTTTTAAGTTTTATTTGTTAGTTTAAAATCAAAAGCCTTGTGTGTAGAAGTGTGTCTTTTGATCAGAAGTTCTCTTTTTTGATTCACAAATTACAATGTTTAGATCCCAAATTGTACAGCAATTTTATTTATACGCGGTGGGTCGCCGTTTGGCCACTCTCTCGCCTAGCGGTAAGCAATGACGCGGCCTACGGACCGCGCTTGCCTATAAGCAACCTATTCCCTCGAGGCTTGCAATCTAGAATAGTATCCTCTTGTGTTACAATCACAACATAAGAACCATTACGCCTAACTCTTTGTCTATATAAAAATGATATTTTATAAGACTGGAACTCATCTTCAAAGCATTGGACCGTGATCTACCTCTCCTCTGTAGGTAAAATGAATCTTACACTAGGACACATTAAAATCTCCGTCTATTTACGCAACGCCAATGCAAATAAGGTAAATATGAAAAGCTGATATGCAAATGTATGGTGATTATCATATCTACATCAGAAAGTGCAGTAGCTAATATAATATTAAATCATTTACTATCACTTTGACTATATTTTCTAATTTTAGCATATTTATTTATTTATCTGATGACCAATATCCTTTTTGCTTTACATTTTAATAAGTCGGGTGGGTGTGGTGCTTAAGAAGTAAGCACTAATATATGCCTAATGTCGCGGAGAACCTAACGAGTAACCGGGGCTCCGGCTCGACGTGCAGGAGAAGGAACGGGGTGGATTTTAGTCAGTAAGAGTCTGACACTCCCTCCCGCCTCACCCAGCCGGGAGCAGTCATTCGATAATTTCCCCCCCTTAAAAAAAAACTATGCCGAATCCTGTTTGAGTTCTACTTTCGTTATTTTATTAAATGACTAGCTTCTGCCAGTGATTTCGCTTACGTTCCCGTGGGATTAAAACAAACCCATGTGTTATTCCGGACCATAGACTGCACGGTTGGTGCGGTGGCTGGGCAACCGGCTGCCGTGCAACGTGTCGCGGGTTCGATTCCCGCACGGAATAATACTTTGTGTGATCCACAAATTGTTGTTTCGGGTCTGGGTGTCATGTGTATGTGAACTTGTATGTTTGTAAACGCACCCACGACACAGGAGATAATCCTAGTGTGGGGCAACGTTTTTTTAAAAAAAAATAAAAAAAATAAAATAAAAAATAATGTAACCCTGTTCCAAATTTCATCTCGATCTCTTCAGCAGCTTTGACGAAATTGAGTAATCACTTAAGTCACAAAATTTCGTAAGTCAGCTATGGGACTTTATCATTTGTGTATAATTTTAAAATTTCGAAAGTATAATTTTAATTTATAAACGACTTACGTTAATACAAAAACGAAATATGAATAGAAAACCACAATAATATTCAGGATAAATATTAAATCGCGTATCTATATTAAATGTCAAGCGTTAATATACTCTTCCTTCTTACTATTCGAAGTAGGCCATATCAAGTCCGATCCAATATCTATAAAAGGGGACATTTGAAATTGTAATCGAGAACTGCACATGTTTTACAACCTATATAAGGAAGTTATACATAAACTGCATTATTGGACCAAATATCGACGAATATTTAACTATATCGAGTTAGGCTAATAGACTATCCAAAATTTACAATTCTACGTTTTTGTGGACACTGCCAAATTCTAATCTTGTTTGGCCTTATTCGGGAGAGTTGGTTGTAGCATTTTGGTACTGGAATTAAAGGGTTCGGTTCATTAGGAATTTAAATTAAAGATGGCTTGAATTTGGTATCTCCTTCTTCTGCATTTGGTATCTGCTTAATATGCTGCCCTTTTAAATCGTAACCTAAATGATTGTCTTGGTATCCTACTGACCTAAGTTTTCAATAAAAGTGTATAACTAGTCGGTTAAACTGTAGCCGTGATCGTTAGGATTACATTGTTGAATGAAAATTATCTACAACTGTGTCAAGGAACTAAACGGGTTTGATTTGATCCCTTTTCTAATCTCAATCTTTTTACGATTAACTTGATAATAATCAGTGTACATTACTACTTTGTTGGTTTAGTCACCACTTTCAAATCCCTCTTTGAACACTAACAATATCAGAGTCACATTTTACACACACACACACACACACACACACACACAGAGTCAAACTCTACAAATAATGCGGTGTGATTTCCATTATCCGAGCAGCCAATCGATGATTTTCCCCCCTTAAAAAAAGTACCGCATTCATTCTTCCTTTACCTCTTCCATTAAAGAAATTCTTCTCAATCCTCAAATGTTCTTGTCTACAGGAGGAGCTGGACTTGACAGCAGTGAACAAAGCCGCGATGATGGCGCTCCCTGCAGCCAAGAAGTGGCAGATCTATTGCAGTCGGCGACCACCACCAGGACAGCCACCACCGCTCGCCACCGCGCCACAGCTTGAGGAGTACATCAAGGCTCTCAATGAGATTGCTGATGTAAGTATCAATCTTCATTTCTGCTAAAGTTTTGATGGTGGAGAAACAAAATTGTTAGTAATAGGTATAATTTTTTTTTTTCTTAACTGGATTAAGCCTCACTGTCGAATTGGGAAAATCCTGTAATGAGAGTGTAGGAAGAAATTTTAATAAATAAATAAATAAATAAATAAATAAAAATTAAGTCCTCTTGGAAACCTCTTTGAACACATTCTTATATTTCCTCTTTTTTTGTGTCTCTGGTGGGCTTGGATTATTTTGTGGAGGATTAAGCGACTAATGGACTTATGGATAAATGCCCTCAAAACAATGAGAATTGACATGGTACTCCTACAAAGGGCAAACCAGTAAAGAATGCCTACTTACATTTTGGTCTCCTATCATATTCATTGGGATCAAAACAATAGCACATCAAAATCTAAACCCAAATTTGTATATTTCCAGGCCTTTGCCTCACAAGATGGAGTGCCACCAGCAGAAGCGTGTGCTCTGGTAGACGGTCTCAAAACAGCATTACGAACAAGAGCCCACAGTTTTGTACTCCGGTTCATCAAGCAAGGAGGTCTAGGTTCCCTGCTAGATGCCCTGCAGAAGGCACCTAGGGACGATGCCTTGACCAGGCATAATCTCATAGCGGCTATCAAAGCGCTCATGAATAACTCGGTAAGTGCTTATGTAGTTGGTTAATGTAGATTAGTGTAAAGATCAGTATTATGGTGCAGTTGTGGATGTAGAATTGACTCATTGATTGGGTAAAGAGTAAATTAGAAATGTGTGGATTAAACATTTTTAGAAAAACACTATTTTGTAAAGGTTTTATGGTCGAAATACTTCAAGCAACAAAATCTGGCAGGAACAATGATGCTGGATATACGCTACATACAACTGACGACTGACTTAAAAGAAAACATATTTAAAGTGCTTCAAGAGCTACTCTTTATTCTATCGCTATCTTCTTACCTGCTTTATACATTTTTGCAGACCGGGCGCGCGCATGTCCTGGCCCATCCCACGAGCATCGATCTGATCGCACAGTCCTTAGACACTGAGAATGTAAAGACCAAGGTCGCTGCACTTGAGATATTGGGGGCTGTCTGTCTTGTACCAGGAGGACATAAGAAGGTAGTGTACATATTTCGGTTGTTTAGTATTTTGTAGTGGTTTTGGTAGCTGGATGTCATTCGGGGATGAAGCAGCGAGTCAGTAATCAGTCTTGTAAGTATGTAAAATAAGGTGTTTCAATAAAATGAGTTAACCTTCTCTCTTAAACAAGGCGAAAAATACTGACCATGATAGTTAAAACAGAAGTTGTGTATCTTCTGTGTCTTACCAGATCCTCTTCCAAAAATGGAGTCCCGTTAAACCCACTTTTGTACCCTAGACTAACATTATTTTAAGAATAAAATTCTGTTTTGTATCCAATATTCATAATAATGGGTAAAATATGTCCTCCCACGTTGAACATATTACACAATAAACGCTTACAAATCCTCTTGGAATCTCAAACCTCTTCCGAACTATCCCCAGGTGCTAGAAGCGATGGTCCATTACCAAAAGTATGCTGGCGAACGAGCTCGTTTCCAAAGCATAATGAACGAGCTGGACAGAAGTACTGGAGCCTACCGCGATGACCTTGGTCTGAAGACTGCCATTATGTCCTTCGTGAACGCTGTCCTGAACTATGGACCTGGAGAGGAGAGTTTGGAGTTCAGGCTGCATCTTAGATACGAACTCCTCATGTTGGGGATACAACCAGGTCAGTTGGCTGTTTATGTTTATTCGTGAATGAGAATCATCGATTAGCGTCTTATTATGACATATTGTCTGATATTTGCTTTTCACTGATACATATTTTGGGCTCAATTGTCGTTACAAGTTACGTGTTTTTAGTTCAGAATTTCTCAATCGGCTGTATCTTCTACATATTTTGCCATCATGGTTAAAATATAATACTAATATGTGGTTTTCGACGTGCGTTTTTCAAATTCAAGAAAATTGAGTCTCAGATTTAATTTAGTTGGCCAAGTATGATGTAACTATGAGGTATGATAATAATGATTTAATTTTATTTGATCTATTAAATTTCCAGTAATCGAAAAACTCCGTAAATACGAAAACGAGACTCTGGACCGTCACATCGAGTTCTTCGAGATGGTTCGGAACGAGGACGAGCGGGAGCTGGCGCGGCGGTTCGACAAGGAGCACGTGGACACGAAGAGTGCCACCTCCATGTTCGAGCTGCTGAGGAGGAAGCTCAGCCACACTGCCGCGTATCCTCACCTACTGTCTATGCTGGAACATCTGCTGTTGCTGCCTTGTGAGTTGATCGTATTAATATTTTTTACAATACCAGTTTATTTTTTTTAATTTAGTACCTTGTATATAATTTGTACAGTGACATTTGTACCACTTAAAGTTAAGATATTTTTGTGAAGTTCCTTATTTTTTCCCCATTTCTATTTTGTGCTTTACGAACCAAACCCGCTATATCTATACTATTGACACGTTTTACTTAAACCCAGAAATAGACATTTCTTATGTTGCATTCAGATTGTGGGATTTGACAACGCAATTGGATTTTTTGTCACATTACTATAACTTTTTTATCTAAACATTTTAATCGTCACATACTTCTTAATAGACATTAATAATTGTGTCTACCCCGTTCCCAGTGGAGTACAACCCTCAGTCGCAGCACTGGTTGCTGCTGGACCGCGTGGTGCAGCAGTTGATCCTGCAGCAGCCCGCCGCCGGCAGCCGCGCCAACTCCGACCAGGGCAGCGAGCGGGGCAGCACGTCTGATAACACTAAGGTAACGTTCATGTATATCCTTACTAATATTATAAATCGGAAAGTGAGTTTGTTTGTTTGTTTGTTCCGCTTTCACGCCGTAACTACTAAACCGATTGCTTTGAATTTTTGCAGACGTAAAGTTAGAAGTCTGGATTAAATAATAGGGAACTTTTTATCCCGGAAAAATTTGATATTCCCGAGGGAAAACAAAAGTATTGGTATAGACGGCGCTGTGAGTATTGGTATATGTCACATAGGCTTCTTTTTATCCTTTTGTGACGTGAGCGAAGCCGCGGGTAAAAGCTAGTGGTACATAAAGTTAAAGACTGCCTCGTTGGCCGAGTGGTTGCAAGTGCGACTGCCGGGCAAGGGGTTTCGAGTTCGGTTCCCGGGTCGAGCAAAGTATTACTGCGCAAAATACTGCAAAGTAGCACGGAGTTTGTGATTGTGCCCGGTATATGGCAATAGGCTCACCCCCTATTACATGGGACTCATAACATAAGTAGTGAAAAATGAATGTTACATTGTACAGTGGCATTAAGTGCCTTAATGTGCACTTCTGCATACCCCTTCGGTTAATAGGCGTGATGTTATGTTATGTGGTACATACAGTGTCAGTGGAATATGGTCTTTTTACTGCATGTTAGTTATAACTCCTCTGGTGTTGTGGGTGTTCATTGGCAACGCCATCAGCGCTGAATGATGAATCACCTGATGGTAAACAGTCAGAGGTGATCCATCGGCTCGTTTGCCGCCTTAACGTATATAAAAAATGCTACTTTGATTTTTTAATAAATTTCCTCGTTAGTCAGGTCTCCGATTCAAGTACTATTGTGGTATTTGTTTTACATTACACCTCTACTATCCCTAGTGGGATAAAAGCTATAACGTTATGTTATAATTCATCGACATAATCATAATTAAAATGTAATTATTCCAGATCTACGACCCGGACGTAGCTCCGCTAGAGATCAACGTGGGTGAGATAGTGCACCTCCTAGCCAAGGAGGAGGAGCTGGTGGCAGCCAGGACGAAGGCGGAAAACTTGGAGAAGGAAAACGTTGATCTCGCCACCGAACTCGCTAAGAAGGTAGGGGATTTTGAACCTTATTGACTGGGATGTTGTTGAAGATTTTGTTTATCATACTGCAGTGGGCGGTATATAGGAAGAGATACGCATTTTTTTAGGATAAAAACTCTTGGCCAACCAAGAGGTATTGTTAAGGCGTTCTAAGAATGTTATTAGTGAAAAAATTACATTCATTTGTGGTGACCTTATCAGTGACAAATAGAGACAAGTGGGAGAAGAGATAGAGAATCCTCTTGTGCGCTTTACCAGGAAAAGAGGTAATACTACTATATAGGTTGCCGATACAGCGTTGTCCTATCGTGATTAGTTCATACTTCCAAAGCATGCTGATCATACGCGTCAATCATTCAGACAATTAAATCAGGGTGGCCTTTGCACTAATTGACGGTTCCGCCTGCTGGTATTTAGCATCGCTTAATCCTCTTCAATAATGTATTGTGTAAGAGAAATAGGATCTTATTTTATTTTTTCTTCATGGTTATTTTAATGTAGGTACTCTGAACGTTGATGACGATCAGAAAGCCAAACACGAATAACTATCGCATTCGTATCGTAACCGTATCGAGCGAGTTAAGCGTTCTGATTGGTTGGTTCACTTGAGCCGGCCAATCAGAGCGCCGAACGCGCTCGATACTATACGTTACGAATGCGATAGTTATTCGTGCTTGGCACTCAGTATCATCGTCGTTAACTCGTCGAGTACCGTATTTATAGACACAATTAAAGAACAATAGGTCGCGGTCACCGGTGACCGCTTGGTGTTTGACAGTTTAAGTAGGTTTTAGGTTAGAATTTCTAATACATAAAAAAACTAAGAGTTATCGTATTTAACGGATACACGAATTGGTATGATAAACAAATCTTCAAAAACATCTAGAAAAGCTTAAAAGGTAGCGGACATCAATCTCGCTATTCAAATAATAATATTAAATTACAGGCTAAATCATTTCCATCACAGTTCAACAACTGTTGCACATCACGGTACATTTTGATTCTTATTCCGACGGAAAACGGTTTAAATTCCAAAGTTATCGTGATATGGGACAGTTAATAATAATAATGTTGTCACACATGTCATTATACAAAACTTATTGAGACAAGTGGTTGTATGTGCGGGGTGGTAACGCCTTCGATTAAATGGTTCGTGTTGCTGGTTCTGGAATGCTCAAGTTTTTGAGGTGTTTTTACAAATTGGTCAGATTTTTTTTTAGGCTAAGAGGGGATGATGTCAGTTATTATTTTTTCGCTTCTATCGAGTATAGTATAGTCTCAATCCAATCAGTGTAGCTGTCTCATATATTCATAGAGATATTCTTAATGAGGTTGTATATCTGATAAGCATACATACGGTCTATTAAACCGAGTGGCAGATCTAAGAGCTAAGTTTACCCGACACTATCCCGAGGATATCCCGGACATCAGCCTATACGAGATTAGAATGGCTCTCAAGCAGCTTAAGAACAACAAGGTGCCGGGTAACTCCGTCATATTTGAAGGAATAACGCCGGCGGCATGGGGCAGAGGTGTGGTGGTGCTGTTTTGATAAAAAACGAGGAAATCCGCAAATGAACAAAGTTCGCCGACATAGCCCAGCGGATTAGCAAGTTCAAGTGACAGTGGGCAGGGCACATAGCGCGGAGAACCGACGGTCGCTGGGGCAGACAGGTTCTAGAATGTAGGCCATGTACCGGCAAGCGCAGCGTAGGACGTCCATCCGCAAGGTAGACAGACGACCTCATTAAGGTCGCCTGCCTATCTGAAAGTCATTGGGGGAGGCCTATGTTCAGCAGTGGACGTCCTGTGGCTGATATGATGATGATGAACCGAGTGGCACCAAATAGAACTGAGTTTAGTTTGGGGAAAGTGTTTAATCTTTCAATAATACAACAGGTACTAACATGATTTGAACACAATAAGTGTCATTGGAAACAACTTAAAATCGATATTGGCTTTAATCTAAAATCAATATTACAAATTCAAAACACACCCTCAAAAACCAGCTAACCAGAACCGCACACTATAACCAACCGCCATTAATAATACCCACCAACCATACTCATGCATGTATTAACTCCTAACAAACTAACAGGAGAAGCAACTGGACGAGCAGAGTCAGGAGCGAGAGGAACTCGAAGGAGTCGTCAGTCGGTTCAAGGAGCGCCTCGAGCGGGAGACGGCCGCCCACATGGAGTGCAGCGAGCGCGCGCGCGCCGCCGCCGCCCGCAGCCATCTACTGGAGCAACAGGTAACTGCAGGACCAGTCGCAGGTCGCTGTGGACGCTAGGAGCTTCGACAAGGAGCTGATATGTAAGGCTTGTCGAAGCTGGTATATCCTGGAGCAAGATTTATTGCGCAATTTCTAACAATTAGGCATTATTCTAAAATTGGGCATGTGAATTCCAAAATGTGCATTAACTCCTTTTCATTAAAATAACGCAACGTTTGTATCTACAGTTGAACCAGGAGAGAGCAGAACGCACCAGGTTTGAGAAACTAGTCAGTGAGGGAAGCATACCTGATGATGCTAAGGTACGTGGAGCGTTTTTATATGTCCTTGACGATACTTTGTTGGTCACGATCTTACAATTGAATGGTGATCTTGTGGCAAAAGTTGTTATTATATATTTTTGTTATTAATTTAAATCATAATACCTCATTCCAGGTGAGCAACCTAAAGAGCGCAGTCATCGAAACATGTTCCATACCACCCCCTCCTCCTCCCCCCGCACTATGCCCTCCCCCACTCCCACCAGCGCCCCCAGCGCCCGCGCCCCCACCAGCCCCCATGGCACCGATGGCGCCCGCCATAGCACCACCCCGCGCCAAGAAGAACGTGCCAACTCCTGGCAATCCTCTGAAGAGCTTCAACTGGAGCAAGTTGCCTGATACCAAGCTGCATGGCACCATCTGGCAGGAGCTTGATGATACTAAGCTCTACAACGCTATGGACTTGCATACCATTGATAAAATGTTCTGCGCGTACCAGAAGAATGGTGTTCAGGTGAGTCGTGATAGACTAAATTGTTTTTTTTTCAATAATTTGGTCATACGGTAAACGTGTATTGCATCGTATGTGTCTAAATGGGATATTCAAAGAAATGCTTGCGTTGATTGTTGGATTACATCATATTTAATTCAATAATATCAATTAGCCCGTCGAGCGTCCGCGTTCCTTATGCATTTCCTTATCCTTATGCATGCAAGAAAATGCATTTATTTGGCCATTGGCACACGAAAACAAGGATCATTACAATAGAAATAAAACAAATACAGTCAAAATAAAAACAAAACTTTAAAAATAGATTTTATAAAAGAGAAAGCAGCATGGAGCATTTTTTCTTATGATCCACCGGGTGCTCATAAGGACGCTCGAGGGGTTAAACTCTACAGAACTGACCGAATTATTTGCTGTTACATCATATGTTCACGCATGCATTGTTACCACCCACAGAATGAAGGATCAGTAGAAGACCTGCGACAGTTGGGTTCGAAGCCGCGCACTAAGATACTGACCGTGATCGACGGCCGCCGCGCACAGAACTGTACCATTCTACTGTCCAAACTGAAGATGACTGATGAGGAGATTTGCCGGTGAGTGCATTGGCGTCTAGTTTTAGAAGCCCTATTTCTAGAAGACCACCTTAGTAGGTATACAAGCCGATTCGGAGTCGCGGAGAACCTAACGGGTAACCGGGACTCCGGCTCGACGTGCAGGAGAAGGAACGGGGTGGTTTCTAGTCAGTAAGAGTCTGACATTCCCTGCAGTCATTCGATGATTGTCCCCCCTTAAAAAAAAAGTAGGTATACAATCTGATTGCGCATCCAAGTACTTGTTGCGCTTGAATCATGCGATGCGCAATCACTTCATCTATGGTACTGCATTTACTCTGCAACCAGAGATGAGTTTTTTATTCTGTTGTAATATATATATAGACTGAAGAACTATTCTGAAAGACAATTGTTCAAAGAGTGCCTGCACAGTTCCGTGTTACGAATAATATTATTTGGGGTCGAGAAAAAAAATGTTTTACTTTGAATATTGTGTCGTTCCAGTGCGATCCTCCGCATGGACAGCGGCGAGCAGTTACCGATAGACATGGTGGAGCAGTTGGTGAAGTTCACGCCGAGTCCCGAGGAGGCCGCGCTGCTGGAGGAACATCAGGACGAGCTCGAGAACATGGCACGAGCTGACCGGTTCCTTTACGAAATCTCCAAGTGAGTATACGATGATACGCGGTTAAAATCGTGCAACTTATGACTTGCGATTGCGAGGTTGATACTTCCCTGTATATGCTATGTGTGTGAGTCATGATGAGAAGGTAAAACTTACACAATGACATTATCATTATCAACCAAAGGAACATGGAAAGCCCCTTCTCACAAGGAAAGGTTTGAGCATTAATCACAACACTTGTTCAATGCGGATTGGCGATTTGAAACTTATGATTACAAATTACAAGGCCAGGTTTCCTCACGATGTGTGTCTCGGTAACCTTCGTAAGTGTGACGAGTGGTTGTGTCGCAGGATCCCGCACTACTCGCAGCGCGTGCGGCTGCTCCTGTTCAAGAAGAAGTTCAGCGCGGCGGCGGGCGAGGCCACGGCGCGCGCCGCCGTCGTGCTGCGCGCCGCGCGCGACATGACGCGCTCGCGCCGACTGCGCGCGCTGCTCGAGGTCGTGCTCGCGCTCGGGAACTACATGAACAGGTACACTCACCTATATTCTCATTCTACATCGTATATTTCTATCTCATAATACCAAAATTGACTGCACGGTTGACGTGCAACTTGTAGCGCGTTCGATTCCCGCACGCAGCAACTTTGTGTGTGTGTAATCTACAAATTAATATTTAATATGCTTCATGCACAAAATGTACAAATAGGTGGACTTAATGTCGCAGGCATTTTCTACCAGTCTGACCTTTGGGTGATGCAGAGAAAAATAAATAGTAGGTGCAAAAGGCAAGCAGTGATTTTATTTAACAAGTAAAAGATAAACAAACCCAAATTTTTGACATCAATACCAAACGGGATTACTGCACCATCAAAGAGCACGGCTGGTAAAGATGCTCGGTCAATCCCACTTAGCATACAGGAGCTACCTATTATAATGACCTGCCTATTATTGAATTTGCCGGGAATTTAAAAAATATAAAAAATAAATTATTGAGCTTCATTTAGAGAAAATGTTAAAGAAAAAATGCAACCGCAAATTGAGAGAATGGCAATATAAATAACTTGTCGTATATCCAACAGGGGTGCTCGAGGCAATGCATCAGGGTTCCGTCTGTCATCCCTAAACAAGCTGGCGGACACCAAGTCCTCAGTGTCACGGAACACCACACTCCTGCATTACCTTGTTGAACTACTTGAAACACAGGTATGTAAAAACAAATAATATTATCATACAATAAGTGTGGGAGACTGGAGAGCCATGCTTCGGCACGAATGGGCCGGCTGGACTCGACACGACCGAAAATCGATGTGACATAACGGTTGCGTTGTGTTTCGTCGTGTGAATGAGGTTACTGGAGGCCCCCTCCCCCTTCCCCAATCTCCCCAATCCCTGAATCCCCAACAATCCTCAAATTCCTAATCTCCAAAAAAAAAACTGTAACGCACTTGTAATGCTTCTGTGTGTATGGGCGACGCCGATTACTTACCATTAGGTGATCCGTCTGCTCGTTTACTGGTTTATTTCATAAAAACAATCATTATGTATTTCTGAATTTATACTACGCATAAACTTTTCAAAAATACTCGACTATTTTTGAGCCATAACGGGGTTCATATCGCATCCTCTAGACTACAATAGTTTCGAGTGAAGTTAGTGACCCTCTAATACGTTCACTTCCAGTTCAAAGACATCCTGCTGCTGGAGGAGGACGTGCCGCACGTGCGCGCGGCCGCCAAGGTGTGCGTGGAGCAGCTGGAGCGGGACGTGGCGGCCCTGCGCGCCGGCCTGCGCGACGTCGCGCGCGAGCTCGACTACCACGCCGCGCTGCCCGCGCGCGCGCCCCACGACATGTTCCTGCCCGTCATGCGGGACTTCCACGCGCACGCCGTCTGCTCCTTCACGCAGCTCGAGGATCTGTTCCAGGTACGTGCCTGTCTATATTGGAATCATTTGCAAAGGATTTTTTATGGAATTTGGTGACACACAAGCGGTTCGAGATATGAGACAGATTACCTATTAGTAACTAATCAGCACTGTTCACCCACAATACCAGAGGAGTTCCTAGTACGTTGCTGGCCTTTTGGTGTTAAGGGATTTATATTTTTTTTGTAAGGGTGGAAAATCATTGAATGACTGCTCCCGCCTGGGTGAGGCGAGAGGGAGTGTCAGACTCTTAGTTGACTAAAAACCACCCCGTTTCTACTCCTGTACTTCGAGCTGGAGCCCCAGTAACCTGTTAGGTTCTCCGCGGCAGAGATTTATAGATTAGACTAGGGATACGATGGGTTGAGTTTTCGATAGTCTCACTCACACAGTGAAACATAACACAAGCGTTATTTCACGCCGATTATTTTTATAAAGCCGTGATATCACTCTGATCGAGTCGGCGCATTCGATTCGTACTTTAACAGGTTAACAAATGTGGGTAACCAATTTTAGCTAAATTTTACACATAAGATACTAAACTATTATGTATCTTTTCAGGATATGAAGAGTCGTCTCGAAGCGTGCGCGCACGCGTTCGGCGAGGAGCCGTCCGCGTCGCCCGAGCAACTGTTCGGCGCGCTCGACGTGTTCCTCACGCAGCTGGGCGACGCGCGCGCTGACTGCGACGCCGCGCGCCGCCGTCGGGACGACGAGGAGCGACGCACTAGACATGAACAGGAGGTCTGACACAGGGATACTAATTATAAATCTCTTGACAATTTCTTTCTAATGCATTCATCTATTTTTCAATACATTTTTTAATTTGTAAAAAATCAAAGTACTTACAAAATGTAATATTTTCCTCAGCTCAAGAAACGCACGATGGAACGGAAGCAGGCTTCCAGTCTGCTGAGCTCTGTCGGCAAGTCTCTCGGCAAGTCCAACGGAAACGCGGACTGCAACGGACACTCCGACAGTTCCCGAGATGGAACACTCACCAACGGACAGAAGGGAGAGTTCGATGACCTCATCTCCGCGCTGAGGACGGGAGATGTCTTCGGAGACGATGTCGCCAAGTTCAAGCGATCCCGCAAGGCTTCCAAAGTCAGCCACAAAGGCAGGGACTCCCCCCCACGGGGCGTCTGCAGGGAGGACTCTAGAGAACGACAGAAGAATTGAACGAGAAACTAAACTAGTAAAGGTTATTGAATGTTTGTAGCGTCCAGCGTTCCTTCGTAGTTCAATGTCGATATGATAGATGTGCTTTATTTATTAGGAAAATCTAAAGCATTTTCGTGGGTAAAATCAATGTTCAACTGTGTGCGGCCACGCTCTACTCATGGTTCGATATAATTTTGGCTTTAAACGTTTACCTATTTTCCGTCAAATTGGCATTCTAGAAATACCTGTATCTCGGGCGCTGGACTGTCGGAAGCAAACGATTAGTTTAATCGAAACGTGATATTTATCGAGTAGGGGATCCTATTGGACCGTTTTAAGTACGGAGTCACAAATATGAGATTACAAACGACGTATGACGGTGTGACGTGTCATAGAACCCAATAGTTTTATGCGACAACGAAGCGACAGCTGCCATTTTGTTTTTTGGATATGTTTTGGAAATTTCTCACAAACATGGTGCCTAATTTTGGACGTTTTTGAGGTCGTGGCCTGACGGATTTGCCCCAACTGTAATCTCAGTAGCATTGACGATACGGAAGTTGACTTTCTGTAATTTTTATCTCAAAACTATACCAGTGAAAGGTCTTGCAGTTAGCCCGAGTCCGCTCTGAGAGCCGCGACCTCGCCGAGAATTTTCGAGAAGCTTTTTGCTGGTTATCGACTGAAGTAGTCAAAGACTGTGCATGTTATTCCATAGACGTTTTTATTTTAGTCTTTACGTAACTATAAGCGTTGTGTGATTTGAGTAACCATAGAGTTAGTATGTATTGAGTTTTTATTCAAGTTCTCTTGGTTGTAAGAGAAAGTGTCGTTGTGTTTATCCTTATCAGTCAGGGACCGCGTCTTTTACGAAAAAAGTCATTGAAAAACTCACGAAAATAATTCCGATAAATATGACGACAGTTTACAGTATGAATGTCGATAATTTTTTACATATCTCAATGTACCTATAGACAAATTGGACACAATAGAATGTTTTAGTGTCAATAAGATGGGAATTGACGAATACACTATGTTATCAAACTGTTACTAAAGTTTACTAGGTGTAGGAATTGATACATACCTAGCTGTAAACAACATTTTGGAATTTTGTATCAACTAAAGCGTGGTAGAAAATTTTTGATAAATTTTACATTATAAAAATTTTATATAATTACTTACGTAATGATCATCGTCATTTTTAATTTATTCCCAAATGATTTATTGAATGTAAAGTTCTATTTTCATTGTAAATATTATTTTTAATTTTTTTGCCAAAATTTGTTACCGTCACTAATAAAACGGAATCAATAATTTATTGATAATTTCTTAATGTATGTAATAAAGTTTTCACTTGTAAATTTTATTGTTTTGTTCAGTATTGCTTAAGCTCATAGTATATTAATATAATGATTATATATTAGACACTATTTAAATTAAACCCTTGAACATTATTATTGTGATTTTATTTATACTCCCTTTTCCTCACTTAGGACATATCATACCCTAGTTGCTCGCTAAAAAACCAAAACCATTCCATGAATAACAAAATTATTCTACGAATAACGAACATCTATAACTATTCAATGATAAAGGGATGTTTATCTGTTTGTTGAAGCTAACGAGCTCTAAAATGACTGCACTGATTGTACGAAATATTTCACTAAAAGCTGTCTTCTAAAAAGATTCTAAAAAAATCTTTGACAAAAGAATATTTTATCAGTTATGTTTATGAATAAGTCTATTTCGGTAATTAGAAGTGCTTTTTGTGAATTCTGTGGGCCGGTCCCGGCGGCACAGTAATGCCGACCAGTACAGTAATACAGTAAGGCTGACCCGTGGCGATAGTGAAGTAAGCTTCACATCCCGCCAACTTTATCAAAAATGCTACATAACTTATCCCTCTGTGAAGGACTTTCAGTCATTGAGAAGAACAGATACTTTACTTTGATCTTAGCCACAGAGCCGAGAAGCGATATAGATACACTGGCGCCAGGGCAGTTAAATCAGACGCGGAGAATCTTAACACTGCGATTAATAAAACCGACCAAATGGGACAACGTCACCTATAGGTCTAGACTAGAATCATTGAGGTAAGGGAGGGTCGTAGTGTAGAACGCATTTAATTCATCCCTCTAACCAGAAAGTCACTCCCAACACAGGGCGCCATCTGTATTTATTCGAGTAGGTAATTTCACAAAATTGATGTCCTTATATCAAAGTACCTTAAAATATAGCTCAGATCAAAGTTTTTTTAAGGGGTGAAAATCATCGAATGCTTGCTCCCGCCTGGGTGAGGCGAGAGGGAGTGTCAGGCTCTTACTGACTAAAAACCACCCCGTTCCTTCTCCTACACGTCGAGCCGGAGCCCCGGTAACCCGTTAGGTTCTCCGCGACTCCCGAATCGGCATTGGCCCTGTTGGGCCCCATCTGTGGTGGTCTGATGGCTCTTTGAGGCGCGCGCGGAATGCGACGCGCCGTTCGCTCGGGTCTGTTTTTGGTCGGACGGGGCTACCCATGCTCGCCGTCTGCAGGCTCGCGCAAGATCAAAGTATAGTATGTTTTTTTCAGTGTAATAACTGAAAGTCCCTCACAGAGAGATAAGTTATGAAGAAATTTTTGTAAAGACGCTTGCGTCACTCCCGCCACGGGTCGGCCAGGCATCGCAGTGCCGCTGGAGTCGGCCCACAGAATTTATTTAAAACTATAATCTTATACACATGGTGCTGGAGAGACAATCCATCTTACCCATCTATTAGTACCTATTTCAATGTATATGTGATGGCACCTTTTATATCCCAACGTTTTCTTATCCTCGCTACTCAATCATTCAGCCAAAGCCAGTGCAAAATGTAGTTACCTACAAGTATTTATACCATGATCTTTATACCATAATTCACAAACAAAAACACCGCTTGAATAATGCCGCAGCCAAGACATAATATGCATGAAAAGACTGAAGACTGCAGAGGAAATGAATGATGTATATAAAAATCGTAGCAATTGGTGTTCCATAGTCTTAGTGTATGTTTGTCAGAATGTAGTCTACCCGTTACGGCTCGGATAATTCTCATTATCCGGATAGGTTAATGCAAAGGAAATGGTGAAATTAATCATAGAAGCTCCGTTGGATCCTTATTTTATATGCGATCGGAAAACACTTTTCATAGCATAGGATTACATAATATATGTAGCTATCTCTAATAATACCTAGTAAATATTATTTTCAACTGGACTACAGACCTCAAAAGGGCGAAGTTATGTGTTATCCAGTCCTTTTTAAAGGCGCATTTTTGGGCATGGTTTCAAATTCCGACTTTTCCAATAACACCCTATATCCTTATTCGATGTTTACCAAGTTCAAGGACTTAGCGAGGCAGTGGTCTTGCTATGCGAGTACGCCCAACGGACGAGGCTAATAACAAACAAAAACTGCAATGTTTTATTACATGCAAAATTCGTAAATAACTTACCTTGGGACAATTTGAAGATATTTATTGTGAAGTTATTCGAACTTAACTGTTCAATCCCTAAGTGGTCACCGGTGACCGCTCTCCACTAACTCAATTATAGACCTTATTTCCGATGATTATAGACTACTTTTGTATAAACATATATTTGGGATTTTCGGTATGATATATCAACATAATAAAGGTGTTACAATTTCCGTGACGTCAGCATTCGGTTATTATCCTGTTTGTGTTTGACGGTACCTACGAGGTTAAGATGGGCTGTGTTAGCGAAAATTCTTGCTTACAAGTGTAATGTATATGTACCTAATATATATATGTATACAAAAGGGGTAGACAGGTATGTACGTAGGTAAGTAAGCCCGCATTTCACCGCAAATTTTGGGTTATTATGTTGTTATGTGTAATAGGGGAATGAGTAAATTAGTCCTATACATACAAACGCAAGTAGTTTAGTTAAGACAAAAGTTATATAAGTATATAATTTTAGTAATCTTTGTATTTAAATGAATAGAAACTCGGTGTTGTTTTAGCATATTTTAAAAGATATTGAAAATCAAGTGTAATTAATTAAAGTTGAAAGAAATATAACATTAAATTTCTGCATAACATTCACCTATTAATTATTATTGAAAGAGTTTAGCGATGCACATTCATTCAGTTTAAGACCGTACTTTTAAATTATATTTTTCAAAATTAGGTCGTGGTTGCACGGAGGTTTAACCCGTCGTGTGTCTAAACGTGGATCCACGCGAGACACTATGTATTTTCTATTGTGTCTCATATGACTGCATTCAAGCGGTTAAGACGTTCGCTTCTCTGCACGAGCATGCGAGTTCCAAACCTACCAACGGAAAGTACCAATGTGAATTTTGTTCGAGTTATATGTACCTACTTTCTACTATTATTGAGACATAGAACGACGCACCACTGACAAACGGTGAAGGAAAACATCGTGAGGAAACCTGGGCTTATAATTTCTAATTATAAGTTTGAAATCGCTAACCCGTATTGAGCAAGCGTGATGGTTAATGCTCAAACCTCCTTCGTGTGAGAAGAGGCCTTGGTAGCAGTGGCTACTTATGGACTGTTGATGAGTGGTGTGAAAATTGGGTAACTTCAGCCGGTCGACTACTCCTTAAATGCGATTTGGCTTTTTTTTTAAGGGGGGAAAAATCATCGAATGACTGCTCCCGCCTGGGTGAGGCGGAAGGGAGTGTCAGACTCTTACTGACTAAAACCACCCCGTTCCATCTCCTGTACGTCGAGCCGGAGCCCCGGTTACCCGTTAGGTTCTCCGCGACATGCGATTTGGCTTGCACAGTAATGTCTGACAAAAAAACAATGAACTGAAACAAACATAGACATAAAGTATCCACAAACAATTACTTTCAACCGTTCCGTGTAATCCTACACTTGATTGTGCCCTTTTATTTAATTGTGTAACATTATCATAGCACTGGCTTTCATTTGGACAATTTAAAATTATTCTTGTGTTACCTTTCCGCTTATTACGATTAAATGTTTTTTGAAATACCTAAGAATTTT